GGTACCCAGAACAGAGCCAAGAGCTCTCAGGCTGCATTTGGGGTCTTGGGCAGATACTCCTTCCTCTGAGTTGCTTTGCATGACCAGCCTTGTGAAGCCTGGCTTTGGTTTGGATTGTTCTGGTCCCCGTTGAAGCTCACCCTCTGTTGCTTCAATGTCCTTTCTTTGACATGACTTGTGTAGGAGGCTTATTCCCAGTCTGTCCATCTCCTCTCCCTTAGCAAGACACGTGTTTGTGCTGGTCCAGCTCAAGCCCTTTTTTTACACAGGCATACTGAAGTGACTGTGTGTTATTACAGTCTCTTTCGGTATCCAGCAATCACAAAGGACAAGGGATGAACTGGAGACCCCTGAAGATGCCAAGATCTGCAGATTATCTCTTTGTGTATTCCTGGCTGTCCTGGAACTCACTTAGCAGACCAAGCTGGCCTCGAACTTACAGAGATCCTCCTGCCTCCCGAGTGCTGGGATTAGAGGTGTGCCACCATGCCTGGCTGATGGTTAAGTCCTTTAAAGAAAGGACACAGCACTTGCATAGAGCTTACACACATTTTCCTGTAGACCTTACTTCATCTCCAGCCAGCTTGTCAGACCTAATATCATGAAAATGCTGTAAAATAATTTAACACTGTATTGTTTAAGGAATAATAACTGGAAAAAATCAATAAGTGTTCAGGACAGATACAATGTGTTTCAAACCAAGCCCCATCCCTCACCCTACCCTTTGTGTCTGTGGTACTGAAAATCAAGGCCTGAGCCTTTCCCATACTACCCAAGCATTTTTCTATTGGGCTAAATCTCCAGACCTGCCTTTCCAAATATTTTCAAATGTGGGTTGAATCCCAGATGTGAGACCAGTGCACATGGACAGCAACTGTGTAGTACGGTGGGGACTCTGCAGTTTGTATTATCTATCATCTTTACTATAGATGCTACCTAGAGCCTCACCTTATCTCTGTGATCCACTCTCTGGTCTTGACACCAGAGAACAAAGGACTGGACTGTGGTGACTTTCCACCTCGCTTTGACCAGACATGGTAACTTCTCTTACAGGGAGCAGGAGTTGTCTTTCCTGGGCGTGTCAGCACTGGAGCAGCCATTCCTTTCTTAGAGGCTCTGCCAGAAGCCAGGGCGCACTCACCCACCTCCTCAGGCAGTCTGCCCCCCAGTCTATCCACTGTGGCTCCCGAAGCCAGGATTTGGAGGGATGGGAACCAGAGGCATATGATTATTCCTTTGTTGCTACAGAGCCTTGATTTTTTTTTCTTTTCAGAAGCTACACCCTACACTCAGCCAAGAAATCAGGAGTATTTACTTTTTAGGAAGGTCCTTTGCTTCCATGGTCACCAAAGGCATTTCCATGCTCTCTCTCTCTCTCTCTCTCTCTCTCTCTCTCTCTCTCTCTCTCTCTCTCTCTCTCTCTTCCAACACAAAGCTCCAGGCTGTGGAAGAATCCATTAGAGAGTGTGTGCTCTGGTGGGTAATTTCTTCCCTCACCTAAATCCTGACAGTAAGAGCATCGAGATATAGTTGAGGATGCATTTGTCCTTGAATATCCTGGATACTGGGGGTTTTGAAGCTAGTCTCTCCAGAAAAGGAACAGAGGATGAAACTGCCATACAGCCACAAGGTGATTTGCATGAAGTCTTGACACACACGGTGAATTAGCTGAAACAGAATTAGGACTGGCTGTTGGATCATGAAGAAGTGGGGTTCCAGTGGGGGTTCCAGTGTTTGGTATTAAGGGAGGTGAGACCCAGAGAAGCTTCTGCCAAGCAGTAACTCCGGGGTAGGGGAGATGGTCTGCCAACTCCACAGAATAAAGACATGTCTTTGTCAAGCAAATAAATTTATTTATAAATTCAGTGTAGGAATGAAAGAAAATTTTCTGTTTGGAAATTATTAAGGAAGCATCCTTCCTCATATATAACTTGAATGCCTATATTCTTCTCTATGTGTTATTTTAAGGCATGTGTTATTTTAAAAATATGCAGTGGTAAGAGCTGAGTAATCTGGCTGCAGTTTTACAGTGTGTTGCAGGAAATCTGACCTGGTCAAGACTCAGGACTCCATGCCCTGCAGGATCTGGCAACAAGCCTGCAATTCATGAATACAGCCACTAAGCGGCAGTAGGTAGCATAGTCATATGGTCCAAATACACAGGCTACCTACTCTGATTTCTCTCCCTAGAGAAAGGGACTTTCAAAGGTCATGTTCCTGTCTGGCCTCCTGCTTGACACTAGTGGGAGTGATGGGACTTTAGGGGGCAATGCCTAGTGGAAGTGCCCTGGAGGGGTATTTGGGCCCTGATCTCTTCCCATGTCTTTTCTGTCTCTCCTGGCCAAATGAGCAGCCTTTTACTCTCCAAAGGGTCTGTCCCTGAAGCTATGACTAATTTAAAAAAACAGTGAGATAATATCCAATATTTCAAAAGCCAAAAGGATAACTAATGAAAACTTTTCCTGTTACTCTTATTTTGGCCACTTATTTCTATCCAGGGATGGCCGGCATCTGCTTAATTTCTTATGATCTTCTGGGAGAGGCTTACAGTTGCATGCAGGCACCAACCTTTTCCCTCTCCTCCCTTTTACATCAGCCTTCCTGTGTACTCCAGTGTGCTCTTGAACTCAATCTGCCTGCCTCAGCCTCCCAAGCGCTGAGATTACAGGTGTGTATGACCATGCCTAGCTTCCTTTCCCTTTACTGTGTACATGGACACACATCTCTGTTCCTTGTTCTTTCACTTACCAGTGTTCCAGACACTGTCCCACGCGACTCACGTGCAGTTTCAGCGCCCAGGTATGCCGAGTGTGCATAGCTGTCCCCCACTCACCAACACCAAGGCTGATGATAAGTGACCGTGCTCCCAGCCCCTTTGCACGTGTGTTCTGTTCTTGTGGAAAAGCACATGGAGCTGGGATTGGGTTAAAGGGCTTTCTGCAGTTTAGATGACTGTCTTCCAAAGGCCCCTGAATGAAATGCTTGGTCCCCAGGCTGGCACTGTTAGGAGGTGGGGTCTGGCGGAAGTTAGGTCATTGGAGGTGTGTCCTTCAAAGGGGACCGTAAGGGAGCAGCTTCTTCTACAGTGTACTTCTTGCCACGATGTCTTGTTTCGCTAGAGGTCAGGACCAAGGTCAACTGAACAGTGGACTGGAACCTCACAGGTTTGTTAGAGAAAGCTGATCCATGCAGAGTGATAGGCATGTGCTGTTTTCATAGCAATGGTTGAATTTTCTTCCATAGATGCCAAACAGGTTACACTCCTGTGGGCAGTGAGAGGGTCTGCCAGTTTCCCCTTGACTTTGGGAACATAGTGTGCTATTGACATCAGGAGTCTCCAGCAGGTAAAAGCAAGGCAGCCTTAGCGTAGTGTTACTTTGTTTTCTCTTTCCTTTTCCTTTTGTGATGCTGGGGAGTGGTGCAAGGCTCTCATGAGTCCTATGCAGGCGTTCCACTCTGGAGCCACCCTCCCAGCCCAACATTTCTTTAAAAGCACCTCTCAGTGTTATGTGTGTATAAGTGAAATGAACTATGATTGATTTGCAAACATTTTGCATGGTTTTATTTGGTTATGGAGCTGTTTTCCAGGCAGGAACTTTTCAGTTTTGTAGCATGCTTAGTATGCCCTCCACACCATTCTTTAAATAGTCTCTGAAGAGTGGAGCTGACCCACTCCCTCCAGAGTGAGGCTGGGAGTGGGCCTGGATGTTTGATTCCATGGGCACCAGACACTATTGCTCCTGGATACCATTTGTGAGTCTGGAAAGAGCTCAAAGGCAAGGGCATGACCTCGAACCACCCAGACACAGAGTACAGTGGCTACTGTGTGTGGACCTTTAGGCACAGGTGTCTACTTTCCTATGGAGTTTGGTCACCCTAGTGCCAAGCAAGATTGACAAGGGAGACACCACAAGCTTGCAGTCCTAGCATTTAGCAGGCTGAGAAAGGGCAGTGAGTTAAAAGGCAGCCCGAGCTATATGGCAAGAACCTGTCTCAAGAAAACGAGGGCACAGGAGCATAGCTCCAGGTGGAGGGCTTGCCTTGTGTGCAAAATGCCCTGTGACCTGCAAAGCAGATGAACACATTTGGACCTCACAGTTAACATTCAATACCATTTGCATTTAGAGGAAAGCCGGGGCTGAACTCTTTGTCAGTTGGGTCAATAGAATGTTTAAGGGAATGGAAAATAAGCAAAGTATGCTCACCTCCAGGAGGAGGGAGAACGGGTCTAGAGTGGTTCTGCTATGACTGGCCCTGGGAGATGAAGGGAAGAGAGAGAGGCACACAGGCCACAGACCCAGGAGGTCCTTACTAGATCTGTCCCCACACTCGGCTTCTCTCCTGGCCCTGCTCAGGGTCTCTTCTGGCACTGGAAAGAGTTCTCCGTACTCCGCCCAGCCACTCTTCCTTCTGTGACACTCTGATCTTGCAGCACCTGGCCTTCATCCCAATCCACCAATGAAAGGAGAGTGTGGGGGGGTGTCAGCCGGAAACATTTGGGAGGCTCAAGTGACATAGGGGAGCCCCCGCCCCTTAAACAGGGCACTCTGTATGCCTTAGACCTTCAGGTTGCCACAAGTGCACAGGACAGAGTGAAAGGCCAAAGGTGACACTACATCTACCCAACCTTCAAAGGCTTCAAGAGGTTTGCTTGTACGGAGGTGCGGGCAGCTCGTTCTCTGTGGGAGTATTAGAGGTTAGGGGGCCTTTCCTTTCTGGACAGCCAAGACAACACTGGTATCAAGAGAGTCAGTGGTCACCAGGGACCGGATGAGAAGGCCTGATGGCTAGCAGGCCCCTGGGAAGCGACGGTGGGGAAGCAGAACGAGGCTTCCCTCGTAGGAAAGGCTTTCTGAGGCCAAAATCCCCTAGAGATTCAAGGGGCTCCACACAGAGTGGAGGTGGCAAAGCAGGGCGCGGTCGCCGCAGCCCCTCAGCGCCGCACGCTCTCCGGAGCCCGCCAGGGGGGCAGCGCGGCGTCAGGGGCAGGGTGCAGGCACCGGCAGCATCGCCTTCACCTGTTCTGCCCGCCGGGGACCAGACTTCTAAGGCTCCCCAACTGGCGCATCCCAGTGCACTCCCAGGAATCAGTGTGCGCCCCAGGGCTCCACCGCGACTCGTGGAGACGGTCCCAGCCCGTGTCCCGAGGACCCAGGTCCCAGGTGGGCTCGTCTGCCGGCTCCGCCGCTGTTCCCCGCGCCGCGCCGGGAGCGCGGTGCCGAAGCATCTTTGTTTGCGTGGCCGCGCGGTCCTGAATCCCTTGAATCCTTAGGGTATCTCTGGAAAGCGTTTCTGTCCCGCGTGGCCGGGAGCGGGAGGAGTGTGTGTGTGGGGGGGAGGGGGGGAGGCGGCCGGTGTGGCGGCGGCAAGGGCGGTGTGGGTGCGGATTCTCCCGGGCCGCGCCGCGTGCACCCGACAGAGCCGGCCCTGCGTGCCGTGCGCTGCGTCCGGGGCGCGCCCGCCGCTATTCAGCTTCCCGGGCTCATTAGCAGTCTCGGTGTGCGGCTCGGCGCGGGCTCACAAAGAGCTGCGGCGGTGCCCCGCTCTCGGCCTCGCCGACCCAGTCGGGGGTGGCGGCGCATCGCTGTAGCAGGTAAGCGGGGCCCCCAGGCGTCCGAGTCGCCGTGGCGGCAGCCTGGGTTGCTCGGCTCCGCGCTGGGGACCGGGGCGCAGTGGGGGGGCGCGGATGCTGTAGTCCCAGCGCTTCATTTCGGACCCTGTAGGGCTCTGGAGTGGCGTAGGGGCATCGTCGACCGGGCGGGCCGCCGCTGGGACCTGGGGTGCTGCGGACCAGCGCCCCTCTCTCTCCGGACCCGCAGGACCCTCCCCGCCACTGATCCGCGGCCGGGCGCGGCAGGGACCAGCGGGAGGCTGGGTCATCAGGGGCTGGCGGTGCTGTGGTGAGGGGCTACCTGGCGTAGCCTGAGGAGCTGGCCACTCGCTTGGGCCCCCCTACACTGGCCCGGCCGCTAGTGCGTTCCAGGTTTGGGGGGGCTGCTTGGTATTGATACCAAGTCCCAATGCTGGGCGGCAACTCTGCTTCCAGGCAACTGAACATTGATCTGTACCCCACCCCCCTTTTCCCTTTATAATGAGGCCCAGGGGGAGAAACTCAGTTAAAAATTCCACACCTGGTATTCTCTGGGGGTGCGGTGGGAACATGCCCCTTGGCTTGGGTACTTCCTGTTGGCAGGCAGAGCCTGGTAAGGGGACTTGGGCATAGAGGATGAAGGCAAACATTGATCCTAGCTTCTCCAAGCCTTGTTTTTACACTGAGCTGTATGGGCAGCAGGCCTCTATATGCCAAAGCTGTGGACAAACTTTCCCTGAGTCCGGTAGGGACAGAAACAAACACCAATGGGACTGTGTAAGGGTCTGCCCTGTCTGTAAGGTGCCAGGGATGGAGCTTGCTAGCCTTAACTTAGAATTTTGGACGACTTTTAATTCTCTGATGTCTGTGTGTGTATGTGACTTGTCAGAGGTCAGATTTAAATCTGAATTTAAATGTAGCCAGCTCACCCTGGCCTTGTGCAGGGCAAAGTTTTTAAACCTGACATATTGCTCTTCGTCTTTCATCCCTGGGCTGGTTTGTCCCTGGTCTCTTAAGTGCCACGATCCCCTTTATTCGTATTGCTTACTCTTTGGGAAAGGACGGTGCTTTCAGAAGCAAAAATCTGCAAGCTTTCAGGGTCCAAAGGAACAACTTTTTCTGAAGCACGGATCTGTAGGTGCCAAGAGCCCCTGGGCAGTCTTCCTTTGGGTCAGGGTCCCTCCAGTGAGGCGAGGCACAGGCTTTCCTGGCCAGCAACAGCTCAGAGGCAGGGGACTCAGGCCAGAGTAACTGGAATACTTTGCCCTGCACTCTGATTGCTGGGTGGTCATTTTGGTCTGTGGAGGGTCTCCTGAGCTTCTGAGCTCTGGGACAGAGGGAGGGAACGAAACAGACTTGGAACCCGCAGGCACTTGTGCAGTGTGGAAGGCATTAGTGGATAACTAGAGTCGGGCGTGAGCCAGAGGTTCCCACAGCCCTTCTTCTGTCGACACCATCAGCCCTGTCTGCTTGCCCTTGGGGAAGTCTCTGAGCTGGGTGTAGCAGTGGGACACCCCCAGGCTCCTGTCATCTCTGTGGTGTCAGGGGGCAGGCAGCCTCACCCCACTGCTGCTTTTCCATGGCTAGGGTACTGGACTCCACCGAAATCAGATGGTCTGTGAGCCAGTGTGAGCCAGAGTCGTTTTTGGCTGGAAGGAGCTGACACCGGGGACCACTAGCTGCTGGTGTCTTCCTCTTTCCCTTGGGAGGCAACCCCAGGCCTGAGTGGTGGCTTGTTAACCAGTTTGCACCACTATTTCTATGACAGTTCTAAAGTACAGCCCTATGATTTTTTTAAATTATTGAATAAAATATTAGTTTCACAGTAATAATTGGTGGGGACGGTTTGTGAAATGGAGGCGCATAAATATCCAATTTGCCAAGTGAGCTAAGAAATGCTAGATAAAAATAAAATATAATTGTAAAAGACACCAATCACACCCCTGGAGGCTAAGAGGGAGTGCTAAAACACCTTGATTTTTCCTAGACAAAACTGAGGAACTCAGAGGGAAAACACATTTGGTAGTGAAGTTGGCATCAACCAGGGTTTTGTTTAGGTTGGGCAGTGGTCACTGAGGTCTGTTGGAGGGGCAGAATGGGGTCGTACCTAGACACAGAGGAATCCTCTAGCCCTCAAGTCACCCCCTGCATTCTCCTCTTATCTCTGCTCCGAATATGCGGCTCAACAGGTGAGGGTCTCCAAAGACACCATGTTGCTTCCGGTGCCAGGAACATATGGGTATGGAGGTCCTACACACAACCCTCACTGGCCTGGCGGGCTTTCTAGAGCAAGGGGCTGACACCTGCTTACCCTGCCCTACCATCTGTGCCCTGGTATGGTGACAGCCTGGGCCGTGTGCCCTCTTTTCCTCTTCTCAGTTCCTCGTCTTGCTGGTGGCCACGAGGAGAGAAACATGTAAGCCTGGGGCGGAGAGTGCTGTGGCTGCTGGTTGACAGGCAGGCATTCCTGACATATAGGTTACACTTGAGACAGTGGCCCACACGGCAGGGTCTACAATGATGCTTACTCATTTCTTTTGGGGGATGATTGGGTGTCAGTTCTGAGAAGGGATCTTGCCTCCGACTCCTCCTCTCCTATGCCTCACCCACCATCTGGGCCAGGGCCAGCAAGAGTCTCCAAGCAGCCTGCTGGCACAGGCTGAGTCAGCATCATGGGCACTGGCTTCTCGCCTCTCCTGCAGCTGGTCCTCACTCTGTCCCTGTCTGGACCTTCAAGGGAGCCCAAGGAGAACAGCACCCTCAAGGTCATACTGTCAGGATCTATGAAACTTTACCCATTGGTGGGTGCTACAGATGGGCAACACCATCTGTACAGGTTAGGCTTGCGTGTGTGTGTGTGTGTGTGTGTGTGTGTGTGTGTGTGTGTGTGTGTGTCCAAGCGCGCCCGCTTGGGCGCATACATGCTACAGAGTAAGAGGGCAGAGGACAACAACTTATAGGAGTTGATTCTCTCCTTCTGCCATATGAGTTCTGGGATTGAACACAGCTCATCAGGCATGATAGCTAGTGCCTTTACTCACTGAGATGGTTTACTGGCCCTGGTTATGCTTTCTGTGTTGCCCCCAAGGTTTCTTAGGGTTGGTCTTTGAGACTGGTCCTTGATCAGTTGGGGCAATACTAGTCTGCCTCACTTTCCTAAGTGGTTAGTGATTCCCCATTGCCTACTCCACACCAACATTCTTGACCTGGTCTCCACAGTTCTCTCTCCCTAAGTTTGATCCCTCAAGACTGCCTAGGCTCCCAGATGACAGCCACTCCATAATTTGCCTTTGTTTTTGCCACCCACTCTGTCACAGTCTACTACTTTGGTCCAAGTCATAGCGTCCATTCTTCATGATTCCAGCTAAGGTGGCTAAGGTTTTCCTCTTACACCATGACTTCAAGTTGTTGGGCTTGTTCATTCCTCTGGGCATTTGCATCTGCTCCCTGGCCCCCTCAGATGCCTGCCTGGCTTGCTCCATTATTTATTCCTTTGTCTGTTCATATACCAGCTCTCTGACCACACTCCATGCGTTGGCATCACTTCCCCATTGTTAATGCAGCCTTGTGTTTCCTTAGCAGCTAATACCCAGTCTCTCTCTCTCTCTCTCTCTCTCTCTCTCTCTCTCTCTCTCTCTCTCTCTCTCTCTCTCTCTCTCTCTCTTTCTCTATCTCACACACATATACATATACACACACACACACACACACACACACACACACAATGCTCATTGTTTATTGTCTGTCTCTGACTACTCAGATGTAAAGATTCTTCACTTTCGTTTAGCTTCTAGAATTGTGCCTGGCACATGGTAAATTCTCAGTGCTATCGTGGCATGAATACCTGACTGAACCCCAGAGGCATCATTATCTTTGCCTTCCTGTATAACTAGGGCTGGAACCAAGACACCTTCATGCTTGGATCCTGAAACCTAGTGCAAAACCCTGAGGTCAGAGACAGGCAGGACAGAGCCACAGTGCAAGCCCATTTTTTTTGTGGAGACCAGAAGGGAATGTGGTGAGGCTAATCCAGCCCACAGAATGGACCTCTGACTTCTTACTAAAGGGCCTTTTGAATTTTTATTGGCTTAGATTGTATTCAGTCAGCAGTTCCAGCTACCAGAAGTTTCCTTTTCTTCCATCTGGGTGTTTCTTTCCTTTTCCCTTTTTCTCTAATGCTTAATTCTGTTCCCCATCACACTTCTTTACATTTTAGTACTCCCTCCCTCCCTCCCTCTCTCTCTCTCTCTCTCTCTCTCTCTCTCTCTCTCTCTCTCTCTCTCTCTCTCTCTGTGTGTGTGTGTACACATATGCATGCATGTGGGCGCGCACGCACACGTGTGCACATGAGCACATGCCTATGCACATGTATTGAGATTAGATGACAATGTGGGAAGGTCTTTCTTTCTACCAGGGTATATAAATCAGGTTGCTTAGTGGCATGTGCCCTGATTCCTTGAGCCATCTTTTGGACGCCCCCTGACCCACTGGATGTTTCTAAATCTGTCTTGTACCTCATGTCAGACCCAGTGTCTCCAGGGCACTCAGTTTGCCTGTCTGTTCTGGACGTTT